GTGGTGGGGGGGTTGGTGCGGCTCACGTCGAGCGTCTCGTTGGCGTTGGCCTCGGACGCCACGTGGATGGCGCTGGCGCCGCTGTCGGTGGTGGTGTAGGGGTCGGCGCCGGAGTTGAGCGTGGCGTTCATGGCCGCCACGTTGTTTTCGCGCACCGCCTGCAGATAGCGCCGGTCCTGCTCGGTCTTGGGCCCCGGGCGCATGTGCTGCAGGTCTGCGCACAATTGGCGACCTTCTTTCAGTTTGGATACATGTATGAGTCACAATGGTCGACGGATAATTGCGTTTAAATTGCGCAACCCGTTATTTATTTGGTTATTAAATTATTGTACATGTACAATTGACAAAAATGTATGTTTCGCGGGTTCGAGTCCAGCCTCGGGCATGTTTGTATTGTGAAGTCGTAGGCTTCCGAGGCCAGAGTCATGTGCATGATTTTGGCTATCCGGGTGACGCCGCGTCGAAGGCTATGTTGCCGAAGTTTCGACTTCTTATCGTGGCCTGTATGCCAACCCTGAGGAAGACCACGACAAGATGGTCGAAACGTCGGCAACACAGCCTTCGACGCGGCGTCACCCGGACAGCCAAGATCACGCACATGGTCGTATTGTGTTCGTCTCGTCACACCCAAATCATCATCATATCGTATCATACACATAGTTACCATACCGTTACACGTAATAGTGGTCGCTAATGACCTAGTAGTTATGTACCTTGAATAAAAAAAATAACGCGAGTTAACGAAATTGACTAAAAATGAAAATTTAAAAAAAGTACAATACCAAACACATAATTTGACGTATTGATAAGTTTTATCCCTACCTTAGTACTTTTATTTTTAATTCGTTATCGAATTCTGGCCGAGCCAAACCTTGTATATTTAAATCAATTTCAGTAATTTGTTTATTCATAGAACAATTTTTTTATATAATCAGCCACAGGTCAGTCACAGTCACACATCAGACACAGATCCAATTTAAGGTGATAGTCAGTTTTTAATGTGCGATGTTGTCATCGTAGATAGAGGGAGAGGTTGATACTCCAAGTAAACACTCTTGTCATGAGTATGCAATCCGTCAGTCATTAAAGTAAAAGTATTAAACTCAGGAAATTGTCCTGTCCCTGCCAGATCGTATTTTAGTGTTATTGCTTCTCCTGATTATTTCCGTCTATATTCGTTTACCTTATACGCTACATTGTGTTATACTAAAAAGCTTTTAAATCATTTGAGAAAAAGTTGCATTAGACATATTCCATCTCACAAAATTCTGTTTTCAATTTGTAATATTGGATAATGGCGTTCACATTTAATATTATTGGAAATATCCTTTGAAAAGTATTATTCGTCTTAACAGCTCATTTTCCATGAACTAAACTAATGAAAAATGCAAAAATGAGTAATGTTTATATATTGATTCATTGCGGAGTAGATTCGTATTTGAGGTACAAGTCCATCTACCTATTTATTTGAAGTTCACTCATCGCTGGGCCGGTAGGGCAAACTCGTCGAAATTGGTTTCTCATAATAAATTCAATCTGACAAAGATGACTTACATTATTCCGTCCGCGAGATAATAAATTACTTACGTTCACGTGTTACATCCTCTGTGTCTGCTGGTTTCTGAAAACAGAAAGAAACACACTGAATTTTTATAAACACTACCTTGAAGCGATAGTAAATGTTGAAGGGGTTTGAAGAACGTATGTATTTGACCAAATTACATTAACGTAATCATGATCTTAGATAGGAGGAACTTGGTTAGACATTTTGAAAACAATAATTTTGATGCCAAATGTGTTGCCACAAAACGTGACTGATCCGCATCTGGTCTAACTTGGCGGGATGGGTTCATGACCAAGGTAAGTACTTTTATATATTCCAATAGCAAATACTGAAATCGAATATAATTTTTATTGTGTTAGAATAATCCCTATATACTATTTCAGTAGCTGCGAGTGTGAGTGTGTGCAGATCCGCCACTCACTATTAGACCACTTCCCGTGCACCAATCGAAACATATGAATTATTATCGGTCTCCTAGAGGGTAACTGATAACTTGTTCTCAGATCGGTCCAGAAGATTCTATACAAACAACTAAAAACATGTTTTTGCGTGTCAGTTGACACGCAGGATTCAGCCAAGACCTCCTAGCGGGCAACTGGCGGAGGTGGCTTGGGTTTACCAGTGGATAATCAATTAGGATCAAAGTGAAATTAAGATCCAATTAATTTTTAATAGTATTTCACGTAAAAAAATAATACTAATAAATGAAATTAAAATGGCAAGCATAATATAATATTAAATGTAATTTTAATGGACACAATCGAATCTTGGTCAGCGTGCTCGCTTTCCATTACACTGCTACCCCGAGGTCGATTTCCAGTCGAGCCAAGACCGACCGAGCCAAATGTCCGACCTATCGAGTCAGTTGACGAGTACGATTCAGCCAAGGCCACCTAACCGACAACGAGCGAAGGTGGCTTTGGTTTACCACTGCGCTAGTCAAGTAGGATCAAAGTGAAATTACAACTCACTTTGTTTTAATTTGTATTCCACGTAAAAATAATACTAATAAAAGAAAGTATAACTGACAAGCATAATATAATATTGAATGCAATTTTAATGTACACAATCGAGCGAAACCTTTACTAAAACGATTTTCAATGATTAATTGTTAGTACTTGGATTGTAAACTTCTCTGTGATTGGTAAAGAACATGTATCACGCCGATCCGGTGGCCGAGATCGCTAAGGCAGTAGTGCCGTAGCGAACTCGGACCGAAGGATCGCGGGTTCGAGTCCCTCCTCGGGTATGGTTGTATTGTGTTTCGTCCTTTCACCCCCTATCATCATCTTTATCGTGTCAACCCACAGTTACCATTCCGGTACAAGCAATAGTGGTCGCTAATGACTTAGTAGTTGATGCGACCTTAAATAACAACAAAAAAAACAAACATGTATCACAATGAAATCTGAATCGTAATGAGTGTCATTACGCAACGGTTTGCAGCCATCAAATGACAGAATTATACAATGGGGGGAAAAAAACGATACTTCGATTCTCAGTCGAGTCAATACTAAGTGTGTGTTTTTGTTGCAATATCCCTGCGTGATTAGAAAATTCACTTCTCAGGTTGAGAAGACCGGAATACGGCGTGGGGATGTCTACGTGCGAACCACACGTACCCCCTTAACCCATGGCAGCGTGAAAGGGACATCGCCGGTAGGCCTGAGCCCGTCCACGGGCTGTCGCGCCAAGTACATATACACAGCAGAAAAACTTACTATTTACCCTGGGTGGTGCAAAAATCTTCCCCACTCACCCTGCGAGCCACCACTTGCAGGTAGCGTTTGATCTGACGCCAGTAGCTGAGGGTGGCTGTCTGCGGGCGCCCTCTGTCCCTCGCCTGGGCGCGCAGCTCCTCTAGGGTCGCGTCCTCTTCGTCCGACACTCCGTCCTGCAGTCAGATATCGATTATTTCACTCTGAGAGAAAAAGAAATTGTAGTTCAAAGTACGTGTTTATAAGCGATCATGTAGTAAATTCAGTTATTCGTTGATTGATTATTCCGGGCGCGTCAACTGCCAAGGTCATTAGTCACGTAAATGTAGTGCATGTTGTTTCCTCGAAAGAGGGCGGTTAGCCCACTGGATGGTGAAATCCGGCGCCTCTCTACTGTCGGCTATCGGAGTTTTACACCACCAGGTATCTCCCACGAGTGAGACACCGCCCCAGTTGGGGCACTCTCTAGGCTCCCGACCGGTGTCTCAGCATGTGTGGTAGTCAGAGGCACTGCAGTGACATCAGTTGATGCCCTGAGCCACCTACCCTGTTCCATTTTTCCTGTGGTTAATTCACAAAAAAAATTCGTTTCGTTTAGTAAATCAGGCAATTGGAAATCGTGAATGAATAAATAGAATTTCAGTACTATACTTGTTTTGTAGATAAAATCATTCGGTGAGATCTACGTTTCAAGTCGTCACAATTACCAAACATTGCTTAGTTAACGCGCGTTCTCTGAAATCTGACCAATTTAAATGGTCATAAAGCTCATGTGAACTGTAAGAATCAACCCTGTATATAGTATATTCGCACTTTATATAGTATCTCGTATATTCGCTGTATAAACAGTGTTTATTAATTTACTGATTTTAAGTAATTATATGCTTTATTTTAAACTAATGTTAATAATACCGTCGGTAGCCAAGCGTCGGCAGCCAGCGTCTGTAACCGTTCTGCTTGGCGAAGGTCTATCAGATTTCCGCGGTTGATAAAGTATGAGCCTACGTGGATGGGTGACCGCTGAGGAACCTTATCTGCAAAATTAACTGGCTGAAGGGTTACAAAGAAAACATTTCACTTTTCCGAGCTCTCTCTGCGTTTAGTAATTTATGAAACACAACTACCCATTCAGTAATTTTCACCGCAATGTGTTTAGTAAATTACGACCAGTTTAGTGAACATTACTCAACTATTTAGTATTTTTTTTAATAAACATCAGTTTCGTGAACGTGACTAAACACTTTGTTCTTCCAAAACATACCGTACCCTATCGTCCAATTTTGTCGCCATACACTTCGCTCTGAGGAAGGTCACAAAATGGCGGCTGAATCGTTGACACCTGTGCCTAGGACGCTGCATCTCCCGGTCAGCTAAGTAGATATTGACTCCGCCCGCGAAAGCCTATGCTCTCAGACTTTCATTGAATTGAATTGAATTGAATATGCCTTATTTTACGTGGCGAGACTCGGGCCATCAGGCCCGC